AGTATGGAAGCCACATTCCTAACAATATATATATATATATATATGTGTGTGTGTTTAGCGGATGTACAATGACTGACCTAAGAATTGGTGCTTTCAACCGTGTACTTTCAGGAGTACATAGTAAACTGCATCCGCTGATTGGTGCAATCACTCTACATTCGCTAAACCTATATATATATATATATATATATATATATATATATATATATATATATATATATATATAGGGGCAGGATATTCTTACACCGGTGTAAGAGTTAGAAGTCTTACACTCAATCTTGAGCATTGATCCACTTGTATCTAATGGCTCACATTACTAAAAAATTGAGAGTGTAACTTACACTAGTGTAAAATAATCCTAACCTATATGTATATATATATATATATATATATATATATATATATATGAGGGAGGATATTTTTACTACCAAAAATTTTCACTACTACCTTACTTACTACTATCTAGTCACCATTGAATCAAAGAGAGAGAATGTTAAAAAGTTTCTGAAGAGAGAGAAAATGGTAATCCAATAGTGAGTAGATAGGTAGTAAGTTGGTAGTGAAAAATTTTGGTAGTAAGAATATCCCTACTATATATATATATATATATATATATATATATATATATATATATATATATATATGAGTTGTATTCTATCATCGACATGACCATATCACTTTTGTCACCTTTGTGAAGAGAGATTTGTCGCAACCATCTTGAGTTTCAAGGAAGTTGTAAACTGTAACCAAAGGCTTCACCACTCAAAACACTATTTCTCCCTATTTTTGCATGGGAATGTGCTATATTTTATGTTGCAGTACTTGTACGCATCATGCCAATAAGTTATCATCTCCCTATTACATTGGCTTATGGTCAGCAGCCAAATAATATTTTTGATGTGCAATTTATATTCTAATTACTCCACCACAACACACAAAGATGAATCTCAAATATAGTTGGGAATATATGTTGGATATGAATCTCCTTAAATAATATATTGAAATAATGATTGGAGATTTAGTGGATTATTGTTATTAGTTTTTCCAACATAAGCCGGAGAGAATAAACGGTTGGAAAATACAAAATGCATTTTCATTATCTCATATAGATCCTCGCACCAAGCAAATATGAGAAAAATATATTATATATCGACTGCCAGATGGTTTAACTGACCAATAAGTCTAATATTCCAACTGTAAATGCTCCAATTCATATTGTACATAGAAAAATAATCGGTTCGAAAGATAAAAATCCTCAAAAAGGGAGGAAAGGAGAAAATGATTAAGATGGTCATAATATGGAGACAATTCTTAATCCTAAAGACATAACTTTCATTTAAACTCGAGGAGGTTTAGGTACCTGAAAATAAAGAGATCTCTCATACTTATGTCATTTCATGAAAAAGTTGGAACCATAGACATATAGTTGTCGACAATATTTTTGCAAATAATGGAATATTGAAACAAGACAAGGATCTTGAACAAATTTTTTTATTATGAATAGAAAAATAATTGGCCAAAATATAAAGACGCGGTTCATATTTAAAGTTTTTTGGACATAGAATCCAAACACATGAAGGTGTAAAGGCAGTAGTGGGGTACAAATATGCAAAAATTATAATGAGAAAAATGAAGTCGTAATGATATAAAACACGACTTGTAGTACAATAATTTTCACAAAATCCTGGCATTTATTATATGAAATATATGTATTCTCTTTTGGTGGATGCGATCACCTTCACATATCTTACTAATCTGGCAATATATGAAAAATTGACATGCGTCTAATAGATGTTATTATAGCCTATTTATGTGGCTTATTCGATCGATAGTGAAATATATATCCTAGAAGAATTTAAAACTCTTGAAGCATATAAGAATTCCTGGGAAATTTGTGGAATAAAGCTTCAAATATCGGTAAATGGATTAAAGAAATAAAGGCATATATGGTATAATCGCCTTGATAAAATATTTATCATTTGACTTATAATTTAAAGAAATTGTACATTGACAAAGCAAATTCATTGAGTACCCCAACGGTTATGAGATCGCTCGACATAAATAAAATCTTTATTTCTCCCCCCATGAAAAATAATTTTCTAATCTTGAAATGCCAATGGGGCATAATATATAGTGTGATAAAGGAGATTAATTATATGGCTCAGTTAAGGGGGAGATATTTACTCATATAATAACTACAATAAATATTCAAAGGGAGAGCTATAAGAATTGCACTCTTTTTTCCTTCACCAAGTTTTTATCCCATTGGATTTTTCTTGTGAAGGTTTTTAATGAGGCAATCTATTAGCGTATGATTAATGGTGAACATCCAAGGGAGAGTTATGAAAAAATCAAATAAGTGGATGTTCAATTTTCTAACCCCATATCTTCTCCCTTTTTACCCTCAGATTTTATTTTTACTTTGTTGTTTGTAAGTCTATTAGCATGATCATACTCTTATCCAACACGAAGATACTAGAATAATTATAATGTTGGTTATTTACCTGAGCCACAAAGGTAGATCCCAAACAAGATTTCGATCACAAGTGGAAGCATAATTATTTCATGGTGTTCAACAAATTTGTTCAAGTGATAATTTGGCAGATTTATTTACCAAGGCATTACCTACTTCAAGTTTTGAGAATCTTTTATACAAGATCGAGATGCATAAACTCAAAGATATTAAATAATGTTATCATCAGGGAGAGTAAAATATGTGCTGCACTTGTTATCAAAAAAAAAAAAAAATGTGCTGCACTCTTTTTTCCTTAACCATGATTTTGTCCCATTGGATTTTCCTGGTAAGGTTTTTAATGAGGCAGCCTCTAATACGTGTTTCTTTTAATAGGATCATTGGACATCCAAGGGGGAGTGCTATAAATAATATTAATTGTTGGATGTCCATAATCGTTATGACCGTTGAATGTTCTGTAACCACTGAATAAATAATTGTGGTCATTTATCATATTGTAGTCGTCCTTGTCTTGTGAGCCTATAAATAGAGGCATCAAAGGGCATGATAATACAAGAAGAATAGATTTTTCCCTATCTCTCCCTTATCTCCATATTTTCTCCCAATTATCTATATTTATTTTACAACAATTATATACATAATTTAAATAAAAAACACTATATTAAATTTGACATATATATATATATATATATATATATATATATATATATATATATATGGCTTATCGTTTCTCAAGCTGCTTGAGATAACTTTATCTCCGGCCACTAAATCATAACCGTACAAAGATAGATCAGTGGGATAAAGAAAGAAAGAGAAAAAAGAATCATAACTATTCAAAGGCGAATCAATTAATATAAAAAATAAATAAACAAAATAACGTAGTTTTAGATAACTAGAGATAAATATATCGTCGATTCCCGCTGAATGCATTCTTGGGGAGGGGGCTGAACCTTTAGCCATCACTGTTCCCCCACACTCCGGATTAGTCTCATAGCCGGCTCAAAGAGTCGAAGCTCGTGGGGATACCAGAGGGAGCCAACTCGTCTCAAAGAGATAATTAGGGTTGGGTAACCCCAAAAAGAGATAAATATATCGTAGAGAAATATATAAACTTTTCAGTTTGACACCAAATCTTAATTATTTGTTTTCATAAGTTTAACGCTTATAATTTATTTCGTCATATTTATTAATTAATTATTAATTAATAATTTTTAATAAATTATAACCATTATATTAATAATTTGGTGTCAAATTAAAAATTTAAAAAAAAAAAGATAAAGTCTTAAGAGCACAGAAAAAAATAAAAATTAGTTAAGATTATAATCTAACAATATTCATGCGTGTATAAAAAAAATAGGTACGATATATATATATATATATATATATATATATATAAATATATATAAGGAAAAACATTTCTACAGCCACTTTAGATAAAGTTGTCTACAGCTACCGCTTTTTAATTAAGTATGACTGGTCATACATTAAAATTGCATTTTCTCTCTGTGTCATATCAGCCGACATTGTGTGAAAAAAGAGAAAAAAGAACAGCTATATTGTTTTATCTCTCTGCCACGTCAGCTGACACTGTAAATACTTTTCTCATATATATATATATATATATATATGAGGTAGGATCCTTTGACACCGGTGTCAAATTTGAAATTTGACACCTCATCTGAGAGTCGTTAGATCAAAAAAGATCAATGGTGTCACATGCTTACAAATCAGAATCGTTGATCTTTTTTGATCTAACGGCTCTGAGATGAGGTGTCAAACTTCAAATTTGACACCGGTGTCAAAGGATCCTGCCTCTATATATATATATAGGGTTTTATAATTCTCATTTAACATGAGAATTCAAATTTTCCTACACACCCTTCGATTTCCGTGCTGACATGGGTCCTACATATAATTTTTTCTAACACTTGGGTCCACATGCTTTTTATCTCTACAACATGAGAATTGAATTATCATTTAACATGAGAAAATCAAACCCCATATATATATATGGAAATGTTTTTGTTATGTAACATAACATAAAAACAAACTTCCTACTCTCACAAAAGGAAGAGAGAGGAGAGAGAATAGGAAAAAGAGAAAAATTTAAATTGGGTCCCATATAAAATTTGTGTGTGTAGGAAGATGATTTTATGTTATGTAACATAATAAAAATAAAGCCCATATATATATGGAAAAAAAATATTTCTGCACATCAGCAGATAGGTTCCAAAAAGTAAATGAGGAGGGAGAAAAAAAAGCAACTTTTAATGTTATAACTATGTTCTTCCGGGAGAACATAGTTATTAAGGGTAGCTGTAGATAAACTTATATAAAGTGGTTGCAGAAATGTTTATCCCTATATATATATATAGGGTCAGGATCATTTCAATGATCAAGATTGAGTGTAAGACTTCTAACTCTTACACCGGTGTAAGAATATCCTGCCTTATATATATATATATATATATATATATATATATATATATATATATATATATATGAGTTGTCTTCTATCATCGACACGACCATATCAGTTTTGTCACCTTTGTGAAGAGAGATTTGTCGCAACCATCCTGAGTTTCGGGGAAGCTGTAAACTGTAATCAAAGGCTTCACCACTCAAAACTCTATTTCTCCGAGCTTCTATACATTTTTACTTTTTCATTTTTATTTATTGATTTTTTGGCTGGTCTTCTGCCTCCAAGGTTTGATTTTTCTCCCTACCCACTTCAGCTGATTGCTTATCAATCTTAGAATAGACTACAGAGCATGATTTTATCATATATTTTCATGTGGGGTTCTTGAGTTTTCTTTGAATTCCGTTTTTCTCTGTTTCTTTGCTAGTTCATGTAGATCGATGAGTTTTTCATGCATGTGGGTTAATGGGTCTGTGAATGGTGAATTACCTTGAATTCAGAATAATCAGCTTCAAATTTTGTGAGTTTCAGTTCTTTTGATCTGGGGCTATTGAATTTTGAATCTTTGTACTGCTCCTGGGCGATTTTGACAAGTTTTCTGTGTGAAGCTTCTGGGTGTGGGATCATGGATCCATGTTTATCAATTATAAGTGGCCTAGATGCATAGGAGAGATGTAATTTTTGTGGTTTCTATTATTATGGATTTATTGAAATTTTGGTTTTTGATATGGCCAGTGGAGCCTTCCCCCATCTTGTGGAATAAGGCTTGTTTGTTGTTGTTGCTGCTGTTGTTGTTGTTCTTGTTGTATGCATGGTTCTATTTGGAGTTCCTTATTAATTTCTTGAACATCTGATGGTTTTATGTAGGAAAACTACGTCAACAACCAAACATTTTGAAACAATTCTAAGGAGTGTGTGATAGATGTGTATACATGCATGTGAGAAAATTTTCATTTAAATACAATTTTTTTTTTTTGGGTACAAATTTATGTACAAAATTTAATGTGCTTCAATGAGAAAGGTAGAAAGCAATGCACAATTTATAGCCTTTGAATGTTGATGCTTTTAGTATGATGTAATTGCAAATAAATTCTGCTCATGATTCAAATATGGAACTTGTTATGTTGTTGTGTTTTCAATTTGTGTGCTTTCTAAATTAGAAAGTGATGCATATTTTTATTCAGTCCGAAACCAGATTTTGTTGCCTTTCAAATTTTGCAGATCTTGCCATTTGGGATTGGTCACCTGAAGTTGGAAATGGTTAAAAGGTTCACTTGCCATTGACCCTCTTTCAATGACTTTATGAGGAATGAACTAAATGGAATATCTGACTAATTTATTCTTGGAACAGTTATGGAGTGGTCTGATTTGCAAGAGATATCATGTTGCAGTGTTTAGAGGGATTTAAGCCTTTATTTGCTTCCCTATTGCGTTGTTGTGATATTGATATATATAAACAGTCAAGAGGCCTTGAAGATCCTGAACTTCTTGCTAGGGAGACAGTGTGTATGCTATCAACCTTATGCTTATCATTCATTATTTGTCACTTCTATTCTTGCAAAACTAGACCACAAATGAATTTTGATTTGTCAATCTATGTCTGATGATTGAGAATATGTGCTTCTAAGATCCTGTATCTTGTGTTATTCCATTATATTTTGATGTAATGTAATTAATGGTGATGAAGAAGAAAAGAAAGGAGCAGTATAGAAGTTGTGACTATCTTGTTTGTATTGCTGGGTTCTATTACCTTTCACCTAATTGTCTGAAATTAAATACAGAATATTTGTGCTGAAGATAGCTATTTATTTTGCTCGTGTATGCAGTCAGTGTAAGTGAAATAGAAGCACTTTATGAGCTCTTCAAAAAGATCAGCAGTGCTGTAATTGATGATGGGCTGATTAACAAGGTTTGTCTGCTTTGTCATTGGACAACTTGTGTTTTGGGCATATTATATTTCATTAACTGAGCTTTTCACTCTAATTAGCTTAATTGAAGAAGGCATGTATCATATTTTAAGTTTTATTTATCATTCTCTATCTATATCATACATTGAGGGTGAGCCTTGGATAAGTAGTAAGGTTGCTGCCTTGGATAAGTAGTAAGGTTGCTCCTTTGTGACTGGAAGGTCACGAGTTCAAATCTAGGAAACAAATTTTTTGCAAAATGCAAGGGCAAGGTTGCGTATAATTTGCCCTATACCTACCCTTGCAAAGTCGTTTGTGCATTGGCGACTTTGTGCATTGGGTTTGCAGTTTTCTTTATCTATATCATGAATTCTATTGTTCTCCTATTTCATTGTTTTCTTTCTTTAGAAGGGTTTAGTTTTAAAAAAATAATTCCATCAGATGTTATATTCAATTTTAGATATCATTTGCAGGATGAGTTTCAATTGGCATTATTCAAGACGAATAAAAAAGAAAGTTTGTTCGCAGATCGGGTATTGATTTCCTTTCTTTTTATCTGTTTTTGTGCAAATATCTTTACTTTGAAGCATGAAATTCTCTTTGTTTGATCATATCAAGTTAATATCTATACATGTACAAAGAAAAAACAAGTTTCCCTGTATAATGCTAAAAGACTGATTCATATTACTCCTTGTGGTTAGTATCTCATATGAGCTTCTCTCTAATTGTATTAGGTATTTGATTTGTTTGACACAAAGCATAATGGGATACTAGGTTTTGAAGAGTTTGCTCGTGCTCTCTCCGTCTTCCATCCAAATGCCCCTATTGATGATAAGATTGAATGTATGTTGTCTGCAATTTTTTTTAATATATAATTATTATTTTAGGATGAATTTTCTGCACTTCTGCTTTTAAATTTTAAAAAATAATGCACAATTGGAATCAATTCTTGATTTTACTCACATGGACCTTCTTCTTCTTTTTAATCCTTTTTTACAAAAAAGCTAAACCTATATAGTCTCTATGTTTCAGTTTCCTTTCAACTGTATGATCTCAAGCAGCAGGGTTTTATTGAAAGACAAGAGGTACTTAGTCTTCTTAGATCCGATTCTAAGTTTTTTGCTCCTCACTGGAGGCAAGCCTGACTTTTGTCTTGACTTTTTATATAGGTGAAGCAAATGGTAGTTGCTACACTTGCTGAATCTGGTATGAACCTATCAGATGAAGTTATAGAAAGTATAATTGATAAGGTGCTACTCCATTCTTCTGTCATTTGGTTTTCTAATAGCATACATGAGTCTTCAGTGTCTCTTTTTCTCTTTTTTGAAAATTCACTTGGATAGTTTCAAATTTAAAATTTGGATTTCTTCAGACTTTTGAGGAAGCAGATACAAAGCATGATGGCAAGATTGACAAGGAAGAGTGGAGAAACCTTGTTTTGCGCCATCCGTCGCTATTGAAGAACATGACCCTTCAATATCTCAAGTAATTTTTTTTTTAATTTACATTTTTCTAGTCGATTTCTGTGGATACTCTCCAAAATGGATACCTTATGGGCAAAATCAAGTTAGGAAATGGACAAGAGATGTGATATAATCTCTACTTTTTTGGAAAGTCTAAAATCAAGTGCAGCTCAGCATTTGTTTGTAGCGGGAAATCGATTTTGGTATTAATACAAATTAATCTACAAGGATAGAAGGTATGAATTAGAAAAAACTGTTCATAGTGGCACAAAAAATTAAAGAGTAAATACCATTTTTGGTCTTCAACAAATTTCACGATGCCCGCTTTAGTCTCTAGCAAATAAAAAGGCTATTCGTGGTCCCTAAGAAATTTAAAATAGACCCATTTAGTTGAAATCGTGATCCCTCACAAATTCAAAAAAGACCCACATTAGTCTCTCAAAAGGACTAAAATGGGTCCATTTTGAATTTCTTAGGGACCACGAATAGCCTTTTTATTTGACAGGAACTAAAGCGGGCCTCGTAAAATTTGGTAAAGATCGAAAAGGGTATTTAGTCAAAATTAAAACTGAACTTTGAAACCTCTAGATGATTATAGGCTGCTTGTGTTTAGGTTTCCCCTTACTCTGTGTATGTCATAGAACATAATATGAACTTGGTCTTATTAAATCTCACAGTATATGGTACTTCGATACTTTTGAAAGTGAACTTGTAACATGGTTTATCTTTTTGACTTTGGCTTTGACCGGCCCTTTCTGATATCCATATTCATGTGTTTGAGCAGGGACATCACGACAACATTCCCAAGCTTTGTATTCCATTCACAAGTAGACGATACTTGAAGGTCATGTATTTAGTTCATAATTTAGTTTCATTGCCTTTGGCATGCATAGCCACCTTGTGTATAAAAAAGGGAATATCAGATTGTTTTGCTTCCCTTACATTGGTTTTATCTTTGAATAAAATATTTGGTATTGTGGATTCATTTATTGTGGTTAAACTTACAGACACTTTTGTGGTTCGGATTTCATTGATGAGCGACAATGGAAAACTAGTTTACGGATATCCTTTTGCTTGGCCATTTTTCCATTTTTCGTAGTCCCAATATCACGTTCGTAACTCAATCTTCAATGAATCCCATCTTCCAAATTCTGATAGCCGCCTGACTGCTTGTTAAGAACTTATGATCTTTTTATGGGTCCATAACATGAGTATAAAAGATGGAAAACTCAATTTTGGGATCCAAGTGTAAAATGTTTTCATCTTCCATGTCTAATTTTAATCCCTCTACTATCAGCTATGATGTTGTCAAAATCGAGTTTTTACGTGAAAATAAAAGGGAATAGTAAAAACATAAATTGTAGAAATAACACAAAACGTAAAGTTTTTACTACTTAAACTTAAGATACAAAATTTTATATATATATATATATATATATATATATATATATATATATATCTCACCTATGTTACTATTCAAAATTTAATGAACAACTTCATATTAAGAAGATATAAGTCACGTAACTATATAAGACATTAGTTCAAAAACATAAAAAAATAAATTAACAACCCTTACAAACAAGTTTCAAAATATCAAGAGAATAAAGTTTAATAACTTCTAAATTATATCAACTAATTCAAATCAAAACATCATTTTGCATCAGCTTGATACTTCAACTTTTTACCAATGAGTTCATCCTCTTCTTCTTTCTCTGCAACAGCAACCTCACACTAAGTGTTTTTTTTTTTTCAAATAATTAGAAGAAGATTTGGGAAAAATGGATTTTTACACTAATTTTTTACTATAATACTTACTATCCACAATCATTTCCACGATTTATTTGTTCATTTTATTTTATTTCGTAGTTTTATTCGATTTCTGAAGTATCCGCCCATGAGAGTTAGTAATTCCGCAAAAAATGTACTAATCATTTATTCGATCTCAATTCCTTCTAAAAAGGCTAACAATATAATAAGAACAAAAAAATTGTTTTTCGAAAAACTATAACTACTTCCAAAATGTTTTTCGAGAGAACCCTTTTTTTTTGGAAAAATAAATTGTAAAAATATTGAATTTGCACTTTCTTAGTAATTGAAAAAAAGTAATTATCAATAACACGCTTAAAAACTACATCAACAAGTTCGCAAAATCCCCCGAGCGCAACCAGAAAACAGATTCAATAGCCAAAAAACTAACACCAGAATTTTTCGGGTCATAAAAATAAAAGACTAAAATGGAGAAAATTATCCCTAATTTGCATTTAATAATGTCAACAATCCAAAATAGAAAAATAAAAACATAGCCAAAATGTAAAGACTCCGCATTCTTAAGTAATTGCTAATCAAACGCTGTTCTATCTGTCAAATTTAGTCGACTTCCTCCATTTTGGAACCCTCAGCCTCTGCATCTGCTTCTTCCAATGGGGGCATGTCAGCATCTGCATCACCAGCATCCTCGTCAATGCTCAGTCCAAGCTTCAACATCCTGTGGATCCTGTTACCAAATGTGTTGGGATCGTCAAGGCTGAAACCAGAAGTGAGGAGAGCAGTCTCGAAAAGCAAGAGAACAAGATCCTTGACAGATTTGTCGTTCCGGTCAGCATCAGCTCGCTTCCTCAGCTCGTCCATGATAGGATTCTCAGGGTTGATCTCCATTGTCTTCTTGCTTGACATGTACCCAGCCATACTGTTGTCTCTCAGTGCCTGAGCTTTCATAATCCTTTCCATGTTAGCGGTCCACCCATATTCACCGGTAACAAGACAGCATGGAGAATCAACAACACGGTCGGATACCACAACTTTCTCAACCTTGTCACCCAAAACATCCTTCATCACCTTGCACAAACCATCAAATTTCTCCTTGAGTTCATCTTGTTTTTTCTTCTCATTTTCACTCTCATCAAGCTTGAGACCTTCCTTAGTAGCAGAAACCAACTTCTTACCCTCAAATTCCTTAAGCTGACCAATAGCATACTCATCAATGGCATCAACCATGAAAAGAACCTCGTACCCCTTCTTCTTCAGCTTCTCCAAGAAAGGAGAATTCTCCACCGCTTTCTTGCTTTCACCAGTAATGTAGTATATATCACTCTGACCTTCCTTCATCCTGGTCACGTAGTCCTTGAGGCTGGTCATCTCATCACCACTCTTGGTGGAGTGATACCTGAGCAATTCAGCAATCTTTGTCTTGTTCTGAGAATCCTCGTGAATTCCAAGTTTCAAGTTCTTAGAGAAGGACTCATAGAACTTGTTGTAATCCTCCTTGTTCTCAGCAATTTCAAAGAAAAGCTCGAGGCATTTCTTGACCAAGTTCTTACGAATGACCTTCAGGATTTTGTTCTGCTGCAGCATTTCTCTAGAAATGTTGAGAGGAAGATCCTCAGAATCAACAATACCCTTGACAAAGCCCAGATATTCAGGAATCAACTCCTCACAGTTATCCATGATAAAGACACGACGAACATAGAGCTTGATGTTGTTAGGTTTCTTCCTTGTGTCAAACAGGTCAAAAGGTGCCCTCTTGGGTACAAAGAGAACAGCCTTAAACTCCAGTTGACCCTCAACAGAGAAGTGCTTGACAGACAAATGCTCTTCCCAATCGTTGGTGAGACTCTTGTAGAATGCAGAATATTCTTCTTTGGTGATCTCTTCAGGCTTCCTCATCCAAATAGGCTTCTGCTTGTTCACCAAGGACCATTCATGTGATACCTCCTTAATCTTCTTTTTCTTTTTTTCTTCCTTCTCCTTCTCTTCATCTACATCCTCCACCTTACCCTCCTCGTCCTTCTTCTCTTCCTCATCCTCGTCATCAGAAATCTCCTTCTCGGTAGTCTTCTCAATCCAAAGAGAAATAGGGTAGCTAATGAACTCAGAATGCTTCTTAATCAAGTCCTTCAATCGACGCTCCTCAAGGTACTCAAGCTGATCTTCCTTCAGGTAGAGAGTTATCTTTGTCCCCCTACCAAGAATCTCACCAGACGAGTCCCTTGTAACAGTGAAAGACCCACCAGCTTGGGATTCCCAGACATACTGCTCATCATCATTGTGCTTGGAGGTAACAATAACCTTCTCAGCCACAAGATAGGCCGAGTAGAACCCAACACCAAACTGTCCAATCATACTCACATCAGCACCAGCAGCCAGTGCTTCCATAAATTCCTTGGTACCAGACCTTGCAATAGTACCCAGGTTGTTCACCAAATCTGGAAAAACATAAAACACATAATTGCTTAGAGACCAATAACAATCGTACACTGCAACAAAGAGAGATATCACCAACACTAAAAAGCAATCTTATCTTACCAGCCTTGGTCATGCCAATACCACTGTCAACAATGGTCAAACTGTTGTTTACTTTATCAGGAATAATATGGATAAACAACTCTGGCTGCGCATCGAGCTTGCTCTTGTCGGTCAGACTCTCAAATCGGATCTTGTCCAAAGCCTACAATGTCAAATAAACACATTCACATACTGCATGTATGACAACAAACCAATTTATGAAGAAACTACCATTAACACAGCCACGGATTCCAGAAATCAAAACAGTCAAAAACCTTATCGCCATAAAACAAAGTTTCCACCATAACCTTCGACTTAAATTGGCTCCAATTACAATCTAATTTCATGCAACCATTCTATAATTACCAAACAAAATTAGAATCACTATTCCGGTATAAAAAATTAACAAAGAGTAACAACAGTAAACAAAGGTACAAGACGACATAACAAATTCCATGAACAGCATTGATTACATTAAGAAACCATAATAAACAAAGTAACCGAGTACAGACATAAACCAAAAAAAAATTCTCCACTACGTCATAGAAAAAATTTCAAGCAATAAACATAAAAAAAATCACTATATTAAGAAAGAACCTGTTTAACGATCTAGGTTAAAGGTAAATATAAACGAAATTTAAACCAAAAAAAAAAACTGAAAGCAAGACGACTAGTTAAATTAAATTAAAGAAACAGAAATGAATTATAGATCGAGCAAAAAAGAGCACAAATACATGAAGAGAAACAAAGAAACATACATCGGAGGCGTTACTGATGAGTTCACGAAGGAAGATCTCCTTGTTGGAGTAGAAGGTGTTGATGATGAGGCTGAGAAGCTGGTTGATCTCAGCCTGAAAAGCAAATGTCTCAGTCTCCGCCATTTCCGATCTACACAAGCTAGAGAGAGAGAGAGAGAGAGAGAGAGAGAGAGGAAACTGTGCGCAGAGAAAGAGAATGAGAAGCGAAGGTTAAGAGAAACTGAGAATACAGGCGCTGAAGAAGAAATGAGCGCTTATAAAAAGGAGGAGTTCACTAGGGTTTCTAGATCCTTCTATGACTCATGTGTTTATATATAGGGAAGATTTCGATTCTAGATCTTTCTGTACGACTATTTCACAATGTTATGTTAAACAGGCTTGGGCCAAAATTCAAAATGCCAAAGGATCGCATAATTCGGATAGTGGGATCCATTCCATTTTTATTTTTTTTTTGGTAATCAAGATCCATTCCATTTTAATGCACTAGTTATCTTTCCAATTTTGATTATTAATTTTATTTACATTTAATAATTCTAATTTATTAAATATTTATACCATAAGATGCAAATAAATCAACGAACAAAATTTGATATAAGACTTCTAAATTTTATATTGGTATAAAATATCTCGTCCCTTTGTTTTTAATTTAACTAACTGAAGTAATATACAGAAATAAATATTTATCTTGTATGAGATTATTTTATCTCCTATATATACATAAAAGTATGTGTTCGCTTTTTCTACCGTCAATATAGATAATTTATCTACAGTCAATGTAGATAACTTATCTACAGTGAGTCCAAAATGACATCGTTTTGATGCAGAAATCAAGGTATTTTTGTAATTATAATTTATTTCAGGATTATAATAGTTTTTTCATTATAATTTTTTAATTTTTCAACCCAAAACAACATCGTTTTGGGAGCGAATGTAGATAACTTATCTACATTCACTTTAGAAACATTAAAGCCTAAAAGTATATGGGGTTCATATTTTTCTTTTTTTAATCTTCTTTTCACATGGGCTTTATACACTTTTATGTGTATGTAGGAAATAAAATTATCTCTTATAATATAAGAAACATTATATATATATATATATATATATATATATTTAAAAAAAATTCATGTAACATGAGATAAATTTATCTCTAATAACATAAAATAACGTTATTTTGGGATTACATGAGTAAATTTAATTTAATTTTATACTCTCTTTTTTTGGTAGAATTATTTTTATACTTTTTAGTGAGTTAACATATGCTTTAAATTAAATTAAAGGTGAACGTGATTTTATATATGGATTTTAGAAATAAGTTTGATTTGAATACTTTTTTTTCATTTTAAATAATTGGTTGGATTGCCAATTACAAATTCTCATTTCGTATTGTTTTTTTTTCTCTATTTCTAATTTAAAACATCAGAACAAATTGAAAATTTATTCAACCATGTTAGATATAATAATTGTTTGTTGTTTGGGACATTACCTATTAATCTATTATTATATATTATGCTTTTAGTTTTTTTTGGAAACTTGCTTTTAGTTTTATTAGTTTTTTAAATTTTATGATTTCAATTATCCTTTTTGGGACAAGTCATGTACCCCCAGTATCTCTTTTGGTAGTTTTTGTATCTCCGGCTTATATTAGTTTTATTAAATTTTGTAGCGATATCATTACCAAAAAATAAAGATAAAAATTGTAGCGATATTTTAACGTATTAATCCTTCTAGCCTTACTTTTAATGTTTAATATGTAATACACTCTTATTAACTTGAGTTTTTTTTTTTTTTTTTATAATGATATGATTTCTGTACCATTTGTTTTTACATTTACGTAAAAAAAAAAATTCATTTTATGACATATGTCTTTTGAGCTTATTAAGTTAAATTAATATTTTTTCTGTTTAATTAATTATTCATTCAAAGATTTTTTTTTATTTTTTAATGACTTGAAGGCTTTTTGGATAAGGACTAGGTCTTCGAGCGAAGTTACATGGTTCCGGAGCAAAAAAAATTTGACTAAACTGAAATGAGAGAAAGAGAAAAAAAATTGAGGAGAGAGAAGAAAAAAAATTAATATAGGTGTCAATTTTTGAGTGAAAAAACCACGATAGTCCTGAAACACATTAAAAAAATTCCTATCTTGCTCCGATAGACGTGACTTTATTATAATGTTATTCATTTATTTAATTTTCTAACATCAGTTATAGATCGTCAAATATCATAAAACAGATTTGTTATTTTGTGGAGGTTAAAAAACCAAATTTTATCTTTTGATTGTTTAACTATTAAAATTGAACAAGATATATAAATATTACGTGGTATATTGAAAATAATTTTATATTATGATCATACTAAATTTTCCTATTTTGATGTGATTCATTGTTCAATATATATAACTTTTATAATAAATGATTTTGATTAACTAACATCTTTCTTTTTCTTTTTTCCTTTTGACTTGCAATTCAGGTTATATTCTATACTAATACAGACCTTAGATTGGTTTAGCCTAGCCCAATTTTGGTTGTCTCAACAAACAGATATACTTCAAAAGTGATTTTTTTCCCCCTTCGAATAAAAACAAATCTCAAACAAACGCACCCTTAGCTTGGTTTAACATGTAATTATTCAGTTATTTTTTGTCCATTGTAACGTTATTCTTGTCTTCTCCTTTTAAACTTGTACCAATCAAGCGCAGTAGAATATGGATAAACTTGTACCCCACAACAACAAGGAATGTATGAAAAAACATCAACGAATTTTTAGTTCCTTCAAGTAGTAGTTAAATCCCAGTAACACGCTTTGCACAGAGGCGCTTTTTTTAAAAAAAAAAAAAAAAAAGTGAAAGTTCAAAGTTAATAGCAACAGCTAATGCGGGCCATGTCATGTGTAAGAATATAAAAGAGTCAAGTGAATTCGTATTTTTATTAATAAAAAAAAAGGTGACTAGGATTGAATTTGTGATCATTTGACAAGTGAAATTCATATTTTTATTAATAAAAAAATGTGACGAGGATTGAATTTGTGATCATTTGACAAGTGAAATTCTGATATTAGGTAAAATGTTAGAGGACGTTTGGTAGAGGAGAATTTTTTTTTTTACTAGGAAAATATAATTACTAGGAATATAGTAATAAAATGAATTTGGTAGAAAAGTTAAAAAAATTATTTGGTAGGCCAAAATTTACGAAAAAATTGGGTTAAATTTTCTAAATCTAATTTGGTTGAAGGTAAAATATTGATAAAAAATGAGATAAAAATTACAAAACTAACCCTTGATTAAATATAAAGAAGACTATCTCTCCCGTTTTCTTTTGGCATATTTTTTTACAAGGAATATTTGTGTTCATTGCTTTTTTTTTTTTCCTACTTTTTAGTTTGATGGAGTAATGAGAATATCACCATCTGAATGGTATTCTGAAATGACAAAATTTTTCAATTTTACACACAAACTGAAATTGCTATGTAAATCCGAATGATGGGTAAAATTTTTAAAACCTCCTGCCAAATATAGTCAATTAGAAAATCCATCTCAACTTTCTCAATTATTCTAAAAAAAACCTCTTACCAAACACCTCCTTGAATCCAAAAACTTAAACCAAGCCAATCCAAACTCTAATGGGTTAAATTTACATAAAATATTTCAAATTTTGCTTGATTTGTTAGTTTGGTACAAATCAAATTGTAAATTTGGCTTCACTTTTAAAAATTAAGGCTTGGTTTGAACTATCGAACCTATTAAGTCTTAAAAAATAATATATTTTAGGGAATAACATCTATTCTTTTAAGGATATAAACTTATATCCTTTTAGATCTTAACCGTTGATTTTTGTCCATCAACGGTTATAATTTATTGGATTAAAATTATTAATTAATTAATAATAAATTTGGCCTATTAAGTTTGGCCCAATAGATTATAACCGTTGATGGATGGAAATCAACGGTTAGGATCTAAAAGGATATAAACTTATATCCGTTAAAAGGATAGATGTTTTTCCCTATATTTTATTATGTAAAATATAGGTTATGATTATTTTATTTATTTTGTATGCTTAAATTGATAGAAAATTAAAATAATATAATAGATAAAATCACGTCACAACCTTAAATATTATTTTATTAAAAAATAATAAGATATTATGTTATTAAAAAAAATAAAAAAACATTATTTATTAAAAAATACATCCCTAACGTAAAGATTTAGAGATAGGGGTGGTAAACGAGCCATGGGCCTTTGGCTCGACTCGTAAAGGCCTGAGCTCGTTTAATAAAAGCTCGTGTTGGAACCAGGTTTGGACTTGTATAAAAGCTCGTTTAATAAAAAGGCCTCAGGCTCTAATTCAGAAGTTCAGCCTTAGAGCCTCCCAGGCTAGCCTAGTATATAAATATTTATTTATACTTTTTATACTACTTGCAGTAACTCTCTCTCATCAATTTATTTCACTCCATTTTATTGGTTTAACAGACTTTTTGAATGATTTTGTTCTATATTATGCTATTTGGATATATATTGAATTTATGTATATTTATGAAATTACTACTGCTGTTCTATATTATCCTTCATCCTCCTTCACACAAACAAACCCACAAAAACTCATTCGTTCCACTGTGCACTACTCGTTTGTGTCAATTTATTTTTTAGTTTGTAAATTATTGCTGCAAATTGGAAGCTAAGGTTTCTATATGGAAATTGATTTTTTGTGGAATTCTGTTCTCTTATTTTTATTCTTTAACATGCTAGCAGGCTAAGACAGGCTTCACACAGACCAATATTATATTCGTAACAGGTAACAGGCTAAGGCCAGTCGGACACGTTTAAATACAGGCTTGGCCCGTTAAGATCAAAGCTCGGCTCGGCTCGGCCTGTTAACACCCCTACTTAGAGATCAAGCCTTTTAAATAGATTTGTGGCCTAATTCCTATTTTTTAACTTTATATTATGGATTTAATGTTTCTAAGGTGAATGTAGATAAGTTATCTACATTCACTCTCAAAACAACGTCGTTTTGGATTTAAAATTTAAAAAATTATAATGAAAAAGGCTATTATAATCCTAAAATAAATTATAATTACAAAAATATCTTGATTTCTGCCTCAAAACGATGTCGTTTTGGCTCACTGTAGATAAGTTATCTACATTGATCGTAGAAAAAGCGAATCCTTATATTATTTATAGGGTTTTATTAATCTCATATTAAAGAAGATAAGTTATCTCATGTCATAGAGACAAATTTGTGGGCTCCACCAGAAAAATAAAAAGAAAAGAAAAAAAGAGGTGACACAATTATTGAAGAGCGTGTAAAATTTTTTTTATCAGATGTAATATGAGATTAGTTTTTGCATTATTTGTAAAACGAGTTCAATTAAATTAGGGCAAAAACATTTAGACAGCTAATAGTGGGTCCAAACTCATCGGCAGAAGCTGACGTGGTTACTTTTGGATAGAGTCAAGAGATAACGCTTCACACGGTTTTAAACTTGGCTGGTACAGTGGTCAGTGGTCACGACCAGAACTCTGAAGTTCCAAGTTGAGTATGGGAGTTTCACCATTTCGCTTGGTTCCACCTCCATGTGCTGCTTCTGTGTCTGCATCTCCAAGGTATAAAAATTCCTTCTAATTTATTTTTCATAACAATTATGTCCAAGACCATGGTTTTGTCATTGACAGAGCCAGCGAACTGTTTTGCCAAATCTTATTGGGAATTCAGACTCTTTGTCATCTTTCTCTGCACCATTGAAATACTTATAATATTCAAATACCCTGCTTTATGTTGCTGTGAAAAATTCAGCTATATTCCCTTCCGAAAAATTTAGCCAAGGTTGGTAGCATAGATAAATTTGTAGAATTTCTTTCATTTTATTATGGGTGTTATTAATGTCATGTGAGACGAGAAAGTTGTTTCGTATCATATAGATAAATATGAGGTCAAATATGTGGACCCTACCACTTGAAAAAAGAAAGAAAAAGTAAAAGTAAAAGTAAAAGTAAAAGGCTACACAGTTATTGAAGGGTCTATAAAAGGAAATCTAATTTTATGTAACATTGGGAATAGTTTTTCCATTTTATTATATGCTATTAAGTATTATGAGTAAAGGGGGCGAAATGGAGTAGTGGTAAAACTGTTCCTTCATGATTGAAAGGTCATGGGTTCGAATCCAGGAAACAGTCTCTTTGTAATTATGCAAGGATAAGGTTGCGTACAAGGATTTCCTCCACCCCACACTCGCTAGTCGGGTTTAACGGGGAGTGGTTTTTTTTTATTAAGTATTATGAGTAGTGAACAGTTATATATCAATTCAAAATAGATCCTTCTAATGCAAAAATTTCTTCAAACCTTGATAAATCCAGCTGCATGAAGGATGCAAATTTCAACTATGATGTTTGTAAGAGCTTGCATAAGAGAGTCTCCACAATAACGATGAAAAGATTTTCAAGAAGGCTGATTCTTCAGTTTCTGGGTATTAACCACATGATATGTTATGCTTCTCCTGCTTTTGCTGCACCAATTATGCCAGACATGAAGGAACCTGAAGTCATACGGTTTGTCTGTGTTTTTTTTTTTTCACTTTTCCTTTATATATATCTTTTCTTATTTTAGTGAATTGAAAAGTGTCAGTGTATTGTGATATGTGATTTATTGTTTTTTATGTGAAGCATCTAGGACTTTGAAGCTAGCCAGTGGAGTGAGAATTCAAGGTAAAGAGTTCTGAAACTTCCATGTTATATCTCTTTAGCAAAATGTGTTATACATGTGGGATAAATTGTTAATGTAAGAACACTTTGAGGTTTCACACTGATGAGTCTCATTCCTGCTTGATGCAAAGGCTTACATTCTTTCTTTTTCCTCTTTGTATGTGTGTGTGTGTGTGTTTGTTTGTTTGTTTGACAGTTTGAGTAAGCAGCATTTGATTCTTCCATGCTTCTTCAAAATGGTTCTTGATAAAAGCATTGAAACCTTATGCATTTTACTATTCCTTCTAATTGAAAGAAATCAAGCTGTCAATACAAGTGTTTGTGCATAAATAGGTATTGATATATGTTTTCAAATTAGATATTGTTGAAGGAGAAGGACCAGAAGCACATGCTGGAGATTTGGTTGAATTCAATTATGTATGCAGGCGTGCAAATGGATACTTTGTTTTCAGGTAATGCATACTGTGAATTTTCCAAAAACAAATTATCTTGCAGAAAATCTTGATATTACACTGATTGCATGACCCAATTCATAATGATATTTGCAGACATACTCTATCATTGTTTCATATTTTCCCCCCTTTATTGGCCTTAAGCCAGTATATCTGACCTAAAATTGTCTTACACTCCTACTGTTGCTTGGTTTCATTAATGATAGTACAGTGAACCAATTCAGTGGAGAAAGTAAACCTGTTATACTTCCTCTGGATGAAAATCAGGTGAGTTTCTTGCATTCAACTTGTGGTGTCCACTGAACTCTCAAATGTGTTTTACCATTCATTTCAGATGAGGTTACTTATATGTTATCATAATTTGAGCGTAGATATAGTTAAATAATTCCTTAATTCAATGGAAAAGTAAAAAAATGAAAAGAAATGATTAACAATTAGAGAGCGAGCCTTGGAGCAGCTGTAAAGTTGCTCCTTGTGACTGGAAAATCCAAATCACGGATTTGAGTCTGGAAAATTGCCTATTGCAAAAATGCATACCCTCACAAGTAGGAGCCTTGTGCACACAGTTATTGTCATGTCACTAGTAATGCAGCATTTAGCCTTGTGCACACAAGTATCTGCCTCTTGTTCTTTTGTAAACAATTAATAATTAAGATGTCTCATTATGCAAGTTACATTTTTAAACAGATGATAGCGGGTTTAAAGGAGGTTCTGATTGGCATGAGAGTTGGTGGTATGTTCCAAGATATTGTCATTATTTTCCGAACTAACCAATATTGCCTCATGATTTTTTTATACATGTTTTAGTCCAAACTTTTGGCATGCAATCATATAACATAACAATCTGATCTCTGCATCCTTAGCATCTTTAACCACAAGAAATGGCTAGGGTGGCAACATGTTCAATTCTTTTTCTACATTTATGTAGTTCTGTAGTCATCACTGTTTTTGTGGAAATTGTACATGTTGATAGTGGTGAAATGAGGAAGGGACTAGAAACGCCTTCCCTTCAAAATTTATATAAATCTTTAAAATTGAGTGTTATTTCTGATTTTTTTATCATAAATTTAGTGTTTGCTCCCTTCAAAATTTATAAAAGTCTTTAGTTATAAGTACCATTTCTATTTTTTATTATCATACAAATAGTTGTAACTTCAAAGAAAAAATGTACATTATAATTTCTCTCCCCTCTCCCCTCTCAATTTTATTTTCTCGCTCCCCTTATCATTGTGGTTACTCTTTTGTGGGATTTCAATTCTAGGAAAGAGAAGAGCACTGATCCCACCTTCGGTAGGATATGTAAATGAGAACTTGAAACCAATACCTGAAGAGGTTAGATACGCATTTTTTTTTTGTGTGGTAAACGGTTAGGTATGCATTTAACTACTAAGTTCAATTGTTTATAGTGATCTTTGAATGTAGTAAATTGTTGACATTATTCTTGTTAATTGCAGTTTGGTCCTCGACGCAGCCTTTTTTCTCATGCACAGGAGCCTTTGGTATTTGAAGTTCAACTTTTGAAAATTTTGAGTCTTCCACCACCATCTGTATTTAATTAAATTAATTTATTATTTCTCGTGTCAACCTGCATTTTAAGATATGAGATCCTATAACCATTAGAGTACACATCATGTTACACTCACAATGCAAGTGGGTCCCACCAAAATTTGTGGAGCCCACTTGCATTGTGAGTGTAGCATGATGTAAGCTTCATCATGTAACATAATATTCATAAATCTCGAGGAGTATTCATAATTTGTAAGTAATTGGGTCATTTGCACTTGCTGACACTGCACAATTACCATTTTTAAAATTGGATTTTTCGTTATTTGTATCGCATATCTCCCTCACTTGTAGTGATTTATCATTCAATGAACTCTACTTGATGAAGGACTTGAGATTCCTCTCTTTTCATTTGTCCACCTGAATTTTTCAACTATCATATACTTTGACTAAAAAAATTATGTTAATGATTAATTTCTTTTATTGAAAATTTTAAATTAATAAGGATTATCTTAAATCAAAGTTTTTAACTAAACTGAGATTAATATGATATAAAAAAAAGACAATTATTGAAAAGATGTTATTGTTTTGACAAAGGAAAGATATTAAAGGGGAAAGATCTGTTTACAATTTTTTTTTACAAATTACATTAAGTATGATCGATCATACCTCTTGATTAGTGTATGACTGGTCAGATATAGTGTAATTTGTAAATAAAAAATTTGTAAATATAACTTTTCCCTTGATTAAAAAATCAAATATTTTTTTCTTAAAGTTAAAGAATGATAATCGAAATCAAATTCAAGCTAATATTTCTGTTCAACTTTGAGTTATTGAGATGCGAGCTATTATGATAAAAAAAAATTTGTATATAATAGTGACACTAAGGTTTGAACTTTGAACACGTGACTTTTTATAATTTAGCCGAATCCCTCGTCAATAGATCAATATTAATGGCTTGATAAACTTTTAAAGGACCTTTTTTTCTAACGTTTTTAATTTAAAACATCTTTTTAAAAAATATAATAGTTAGACTAGATTTTTGGGGGGAAAAACAAAAGTTATAAATTTTTTTTAGTATTTCATCAAAAATTAAAACGAGTAATTTTTGAAAAAAAAAATCATAAAAACACGTTTTTTTAAATTTATCCAAATCACCTTGATAATAAACTACTATTATATGAACCTCATGGGATATCATTTATGCCAAAAACAATTGTTGAATTCTTTATCTTATTATTAAGGTGCTAGTTTAATGTTCATGGTTCTAAAACATGTTTGATATGATTCATAATTTGTATTCGACGACACATATTCCTTTGGAATATTGATCGTACTAGCATCTATTTCCATATAATATACTTGAATTCTACGGAGTGCAATTTTTTTTTTCAAACTGCTATGGCATCATAGTCATTGAGGTATGTAGCTACTATGGATGGGAAAGATGACACATTCATATTGGCTAGAAAAGTTGCTACACAATGTAGCGACTTTGGTCCAACAGACCTCCAAGACTTTTCCAGCCAATATGAACGTGCTACGCATCCTGTCTATCATAGCTACATACCTCGTCGACTATGATGTGGTGGCAGTTTTAAAAAAAATTTGCACTCCATGGAATTCAGGTATATTATGTGGAGAAAAATGGCAATACGGTCAATGTCCCTATTCCCTCCATGCACATAGTATAGCTGGCAGTGCTCTGTACTTAAGGCCTTGTATTATTTTGTAGGGGTGTTTGTGGTCTGGATTGGATTGGTTTTGAAGCAAAAATTATTTAATTCAATCCCTTCAGTTTTTTTTTTAAAATCTGATCCGATCCAATCCAATCCAATTATATTCGATTTGGATTGGATCAGTTTTCGATTTTTCGAAAAGCCAAAAATTTCAATCATATAAATCATTAGCTATATCAAAATAAAATCATTCAAAGTTACAAATCACTGAAAAATTCAATCTTCAAATTAAAATAAGTCTTAAAACTCATGAAGAGTTAAAATAGATTAATAGATAATAAAAACTAAAATAAGATAGTTTGCTATGGATAACATCCATGATTTCAAGTCTACAAAACAACAAGATTACAAGTCAACATCTTTTGAAAATAATAAATATATAATACATTGGATCGGTTTTTACCAACCAAACCGAAAATATATCCAACCCAATTAAAATATGCCATTTTTTTTTATTTTTGGGTTTTCAATTTTCGGTTAATTCAGTTATCGATTTTTCGTTTCAGTTATGGCGATTTGAATAGATTTGGATAAGTTGATGGACACTCCTATTATTTTGGACTATGGTTTTCTTTTGGTAGTTTGGGCAATGTTCTTGAACCAATTTATATTCCTTATTATCTATTTTGTTATTCTAAGTGGTTATTCTATTCTAGGTAATCAAGAACTAATTATTCTGAATTCTTGGGTTCAAGAATTCCTGTGCTGAATTTTTAAGTATTTATTTTGAATATTTTTTCTATTTTACATAATTTCACTAACTAGTAAATTAAAAAAAAAAGATTGCATATGCGGACGAGTTTAATAAACTACTGGGATCTTCGTTATTAACAAGAATTGTTTTTGATCCAATCCGGAGGAATCCATACAAAAGGCAAATCCCTTAGGATACACCAGATCCGGCTCGGTTATTGATAGAGTGAATAGATCTGCCATTTCTTGAAATATCTCTTCTGATTCAAAATCGTGGTGTAACGTGTATCCCCCCTATTCCGGTCTTGTAATTAAGTGATTGTAACTAGGGGTGTTCGCTGTCTGAATTGGATTGGTTTTGAAGCAAAAATCATCTTATTCAATCCCTTCGGTTTGGATTTTTTTTTAAAATTCGATCCAATCCAATTTTATTCGATTTGGATTTGATCGATTTTTGATTTTTCAAAAAACCTAAAATCTCAGCCATACAAATTGTTGGGAATGTGGCTTCCGTACTCAAGAGGGGGGTGGATTGAGTATTACAAGATTTTCGCAAAAGCTCCCTTCTAGTTTCTAAATAATCATTTCAAGTACACTTTGACATATGAAAAGCTAATCAATGCATTCAAAGAATTCATAACATATAATGTATCACAATTATAGAACTTATACTGGCACATACAACATATCAATGAAGCAATTAAAGTGCTAGAAATAAAGAGTTTAGAGTTTAGAGAATTGCTAACACAATATATCCTGGTTCGGTCACCACCACTTGTGACCTACGTCCAGACTGAAGCCGCTCGATCAACTCTTTCACTAATGGTCAAGCTTCATGGGTGCTTGACAAACCTTTACAATCTTCCAAGATTTCGGGTGCTTGGATACCTTTCAATCTCCAAGTTTACGGGTACTTGGTAACCTTACAATTCACTCCAAATTTACTTAGGTATTTGGCTACCTCTCAAATAATGGGTCTCACAACCCTTTCAACTCAAGAATACAAGAAGGAAAATATTAGGAAATGAATATACACTCTCAAAGTGTGGATATACAACTTGAAGCACTATGGGTATATGGATTTTCAAGATATGAGCTCAAATATATTTGATCTTTGAAAGATATGAAAGAATATGCAAATGATAGTGTAGAAGCTCTCAAATCATCCTTAAGATGTGTAGGAATAGTGATCTATATGTTTTAGGGTCATAAGGAATGTATTTATAGTGTTTTCATTGAAAACTAGTCGTTTATAGCCGTTTTATGCATTCTGCCCAGTAAGTATTCGAATACTTTTCGTGTGGTATTCGAATACTTCATTTATAGCCGTTATAGACCTTCTGCCAGCAAGTATTCGAATACTTTTCGTGTTGTATTCGAATACTTCATCAGGTATTCGAATACTGCATCGGGTATTCGAATGCTTTATTGACAGCAAGAACACTGTTTCGTATTTTGGGTATAACTTGAGTTATAATTGTCGGATTGATGTAATCTTGGTCTCGTTGGAAAGATGAAAGAAAGATCTACAACTTTTATGAAGAACACAAGATCCAAATTCGTCATCTTAGATACGAAAAGTTGTATGTAAGACTGAAGCAAAATTAAGCAACAAATTTTAGGCTCAAATGTGTTCTAGCTTGCTTCCAATCGCTTTTTGTGAAAGATCTTGACTTGATAAATATGTTTTGAATTTATAAAATATGTCAAGGATCTTTTCCTTGGATTTTTCAAATTTATTTCAAGTATATAAAGATTATGATTATGCAATTTGAAAAACAAATTTATTTTGAGAAAAACTTTGAGCTCATGCAATGCAATCTACCATATACCCTCACATATATTCTAAGTCCTAAAGATATATTTCAAATATGATTTTAGACTTAGCTTTATGTCTTGTTTCTTGGATCTTTTTTTGAACTTGATGCTTTGACTTGTTGAATATGACAATGTTTGGCACTTTGTTGGTTTTGATCATTTTTCACCATGTTATGATATTGAGATTCTCTTAGATGTTGTCCATGGTTAGTTATCTTTGATCTTGATGTTGCTCTTCTAATTATTCCTTGTTGCTCTTGATCCAATGATCTTGCCACTTTGATATGACATTACTCTTCTTGTGTGACTACATCATACATTTTCAATATTCACATACGGTTGATGCTTTTTGCTCTTGATCAAAGCTCTTCTCCTTTTGTTGTTGCCATTTTGATATCATCAAAACATACCTTGTATCTACACAAATAACTAGCTATATCAAAATAAAGTCGTGCAAAGTTATAAACCATTGGAAAATTCAAGTTTTCAAACTAAAACAAGTCTACAAATTCATGAAGAGTTAAAATAGATTAATAACCAATAAAAAACTAATACAAGATAGTTTGCTATCAACAACATCCAAGATTGCAAGTCTACAAAATAACAAGATTCCAAGTCACCATCTTTCAAAAATAATAAATACATAATACATTGGATCGATTTGGATTGGACCAGTTTTTACCAACCGAATCAAAAACTGATCCAAACCAATTAAAATATGCAGTTTTTTTTTTGTTTTCAGTTTTTCGATTTTCGGTTCTATCATCGTGGTTTAGATCGGTTAATGAACATCCCTAATTGTAATGAATATTGTGAGTAGATTATAGAGAAAAGCAAATGGATAAATTGCATAAAATCACCCTTTAACTTCTTTAATTTCATTACTTGTTGGAAAAAAACACTATACACTTTCAATTGAATCGACTGAGTGAGGATATTCTAACCACCAAAAATTCTTACTACTAACTTACTACCCATCACATCACCATTGGATCAAAGAGAGAGAATGTTAAAAAGTTTTTGAAGAGAGAGAAAATGTTAATCTAATGGTGATTAGATAGGTAG